GCAAAACAGGGTTGCTGAGAGAAAAAAATAGGCATATTTTAGAGGTAGCTAGAAGTATCATACTCAACTCCAATGTTCTCATACGCTTCTAGGGAGATGTAATTCATACAGCCATATACCTCATTAACGGGGTTCCTTCACGGGTCCTAAACAAGCAGACCCTGTTCAGTCTTCTATATCCAGATAAGGACCTATTCACTATTCCCCTCAAAGCTTTTGGGTGTACTTGTTTTGTTCAAATCCTTGGATCTCATCGCTCCAAGTTTGATCCCAAAGCCACTAAATGTATTTTCCTTGGGAATGCACAAAATCAAAAGGGATATTGCTGTTATGAGCCAATTTCAGGGAAGCGCTTTGTGTCCATGGATATCACCTTCTTTGAGGATATGCCCTACTATCATAAGGCTTCTCCTTAGGGAGAGATAGTGAGGAAGGGATTTCAGTTTCAGCTCCAAGAGTTCCTTTACCTGTCCCGGTTACTGAGGGGAGGGAGTTGCAAAGAAGGTTGTCAAAAATGCAGGGAGTTGAGAGTGTATCACAGAAAGTGGTGGAGGCAGGTTGATTCTCGTACTCAACAGCAATCTAGGCCAGTTCCAACATCTTCTACAGCTCTAGATCCAAACACTACTACTACTCCCACTCTTACAAATGTTCAGCCTTCACCGACAGATGACCTTGATCTTCCAATTGCTATTCGTAAAGGGAAGTGTCGTTGCACCTCATCAACTGCCCATTGCATCTCCAAGTTCCTTTCCTATAATTGTCTCTCAGAATCCTACAGATCTTACTTGGCATCTATTTCTGCTATTCCAATACCAAGAAAAGTGCAAGAAGCTCTTTTGATACCTGAATGGAAGGAAGCAATGCAAGTAGAGATGGATGTTCTTGTCAAGAACAACACATGGGAACTAGTTAACCAGCCTGAAGGGAAGAAACCTATTGGATGCAGATGGGTGTTTACTATGAAATATAATGTTGATGGTACTTTAGAGAGGTATAAGGCCAAATTGGTTGCAAAGGGATTCACACAAACTTATGGCATAGACTATATAAAAACCTTTGCACCTGTTGCAAAAATGAACACTATCAAAGTTATTCTATCCATTGCTGCAAACTTCTCATGACCACTATTTCAGCTGGATGTTAAGAATGCCTTCCTCAATGAAGACTTGCAAGAGGAAGTATACATGGAGTTACCCCCTAGTTTTTATAGTATAGAAGCAGGAAATAAAGTTTGCATTTTGAAGAAGGCCTTGTACGAGCTGAAACAATCCCCGAGAGCTTGGTTTGATAGGTTTAGATTGGCTTTGGACAAATTCGGATACATACAGGCTCAGCCAGATCTCTCTTCTTTAAGAAGACAGGTCATTCCCTGACTTTACTTGCAGTCTATGTAGATGACATTGTGATAACAGGAAGTGACACTAGTGAAATTGAAACCCCTAAACAGCACCTTCACAAGGAATTTGAAGTGAAAGACCTAGGAAAGTTACACAATTTCCTAGGAATTGAGGTAGCTTGATCTAAGCATGGCATTTTCATCTCCCAAGGAAGTATGTTCTGGACTTATTGGAAGAAACTGGCAAGTTAGGAGTGAAACCTGCTAATACTCCCGTTGAGCCTAACCATAAGATAAGTGCAAAAAGTGGAGAATTCCTTGAGGACAGGGCTATGTACCAAAGGCTGGTTGGGAAACTTCTTTATCTCTATCTAACCCGACTAGATATTTCTTATGTCGTCAGTGTTGTCAGTCAATACATGCATTCTCCTAGGACCACCCATCTCCTTGCAGTAGAAAGGATCCTTGCCTACTTAAAGAGATCTCCAGGGAAAGGTATACTCTTCAAGAATAATGATCATATGAAAATAGAAGTGTATACAAATGCAGATTGGGCTGGATGTATTGATGATAGGAGTCCACCTTTGGATATTGTGCATTTGTGGGGGGAAATCTCATTTCCTAGAGAAGCAAGAAACAAAATATTGTTTCTCGCTCCAATGCAGAAGCAGAATACAGATCCATGGCCAATGGTGTTGCAAAAGTGTTATGGTTGAGACCCTTGCTTAATGAGTTGAAGGTTGATTATGAGAAGCCTCTGATGCTGTATTGTGATAATCAAGCTACAATTAATATTGCCCACAACCCAAATACAGTATGACAGGACTAAGCATATCGAGGTTGAAAGACATTTTCTCCAAGAGTGAGTTGCATCTCAAGAAGTATGCCTTCCTTACATTGCCTCAAACATGTAGTTAGCTGATCTGTTCCCCAAAGCAGTCACAAAAAACGAATTAGAGATAGATCTACGCAAGTTGGGCATGACAAATATCTACTCCCAACTTGAGAGGGAGTGAAGAAATAGTTGGTTAGTCGCGAGTGTGGGGTTCCATACCCACACTCAGGCTCTATTGTGTGTGGTTTCATACCCACACCTAGTTGTTTCTAATTTCTTTTATTAGTAGTTTCTAATTTCTTTTATTAGTAGTTTCTCATTCCTTTTATTAGAAGTTTCTAATTTCTTTTAAGTTGGGCCAGCTGGCCTTATTGTTTCTAATTTTTGTTTTGTTTCTAGTTTTTTGTTTATTTCCTATTCTTGTAAGAAACCTAAATCTATAAATAAAAAAGTGCATGGGGCAGCGAATCATTAACCACTGAACCCCTTCTTTCTTTTCTCCTCTCTTCACTCTCTCTCTCTCTTTCTTCTCTTCGAACCTATATTACTTCTCTAATACAGTAAACAGTTCTTCTTCTTCTTCTTTTAAGTCCATAAGAATGGGTCATTCCTACCTGGCTAACAACATAATGTCCATGTTTATCAAGATATGCAAATACAAATGACAACTTTGCATCTCTTCTCTTTTCTGTAGGAGCAACCTTTTTAACCAAATCTGTCAATTCACGAAGAGTAGCATCCTTCCATGTATAAATTTTGGCTACCTCCTTGGCTCTTTTCTCCTCACCACAAAGCCTCCCTTGGCATGGTGGTTTCAAATCTTACTGAAACCTTAAGTAATAGAGGGCAAGTCTTCTCATGATCGACAGTCTTAAAGAACGAACGAGCAAGAGAGGGTTGGCCATCTAGACTAAGGAGGGGGGAAGAGGTCTAGCCAACCTATTTAGAGCTTTAGCAACCCCCGCCATCTTTCTTTCTCTATTGTAAGCCCTGCTGCTTCTTCGATTTTTCTCTCTTTGGATCTTCTTGATAGAGCCCTCTACACTCTACCCGATGGATTGATGAACTACACTCTCAAGAAATTCTTACAGCCTCATATTTGATAAATTGTATGCCATCAAGGGTGTTGGGCATGAGAACTCCTTTTTCCTCCTTTTTCCTATTCTTGATGATTTTCCTTTCCTCCAAAAGTCTTTGGTTGTGTATGTTTCATCCATGTCAAGGATCCCAAGAAAACAAAGTTGGATCCTAGGGCCATATGGGATGTTTTTCTTGGGTATTCTTCTACACAAAAGGGATTAAGTGTTATGATCCGATTACCAAGAAAAAATATGTCACTTAGGAGGTGTTTTTTCTTCGAGTCTCAATCCTTCGTTCGATCTCCTAGGAATCCTCTTTAGGGGAAGACTAGTAGGGTGGAAGAGGATCCCTCTTCTCCTTCTCCTTTTGTGTTGTCTTCCACTTCTAGTCTTCTAGCTTGTCCTCTTGATCCTCTTAATTCTAGCCGTCTAAGTGAATCTAGTGAGGCTTCTATTGACCCTATTACTTCTCCGGATGTAGGAGATGGGGCTAATGCTAATAATACAAATCTTGAACAATAGAAAGAATTGAGAACCTTCTATAGGAAGAGGAAGAGGGAACCTCCAACTTGTGGAAACGACCAACCAGACTTAAATCAATCTGCCCTGGTGGACCCAGCTAATCCTATTTCTGATGCTCTTACACCTATTTTTGACTTGGATCTTCCCATTACTCTTTGTAAGCTTATTCATTCTTGTACCACTTGACACCCCATTGCTAAATATGTTTCTTTTTCTTGCTTATCCTTCACTATTATTCTTTTGTCTCTGGTCTTTCTTCTATTCATGTTCCCCTCCAGGTACTCTGACATTGTATCTGATCCAAAATGGAGAGAGGCTATGAATGAGGAAATGGAAGGTGAAGGCCAAGACATGGAAATTAGTTGATCTACCAGAAAGCAAGAGCACTACCAGAAAGCTTATTCCCTACACACCCTCAGAGATGTAGATAGCTGATGTTATGACAAAAGGCCTTCCTTTAATGAAGTTTCATGGTTTATTTGGAAAGCTGGGCATGATGGATGTCTATGCTCATCTTGAGGGAGAGTGTTGTAATGAGTGACTATGTGGGCCTTTTCTTCTTATATTTTAGATTTGTTTTTGTAGTGGGCCTAAATTAGCTTTCTTTTTTTTTTTTTGTCTGGGTGTCCCATCACTAATCAGGGGCACATCAGGCTTTTTATGTAATATCAAAAACCTAATATAAATTCTGTTCTAGGGCCCACTAAGAACAATCTTGTTGCCCATTCACTCTCTTCTCTTCTCTCTGTTTTCTCTTTCTCTTGCTCTAATCACCATTACAGGAATGATAGCACAAATTTCAGAAAATGAAGTGCCCTTGTTACTTAGAAAAATGGTGGCAACAAGAAAACTAAAACAAGTTAAAAGACCACCAGATTGAAATTTTGGCATATATCTGAAACATAAGTAAAAAAAAAACATATGATGCATCCAAATTTCAGAAAATGAAGTGCTTTTGTTACTTAGGTGTTAAAATCCCTACTAATCTCTGAAGCCTGAAGTAGAAATTTATAACAAGGAATTTTGATATATTAACACTTTTTTTTGGCTGCAAAATATATTAGGATATGTTCAATTGTTCATTTTTATTGTTTCTTCCTTTTATCGTTTTCATCTTTAAGGTAAATAATAAGGAAAGTTACTTGATCGAGTAAAAATTTATAATTGATTGGACCTTTTTCAAGTAGGAGATACTAGTTAAATACAAGGTATGAATAGTGTTTACCAGTGGCATCTATGCCTCCTTCCTTCCATGCATCTCCACTCATGTAGTATATGTGGCTACATAGATATAAGACATTGTCAAAATTCTGTTTCTTTGTAGCATTTTTCTTCTTTAAAACAGGTAGATTACAGTTCATTCCTTTGGCAGAACTTACGGAAGAAATTCAACAACAGAAAAATGAGAGTAATGGAAACAGGAATAGTGATAAGATGGAAAACAATATAACAGCAGAGTTCATGAATATGGAGCCATGAGGATCTCTTCATTATAAGGGCATGGAAGAAGGCCCACATTTATGTACTTATTTAGGAGTCAGGATTTAGGACTTTGGACTACAAGGATTGCCATAAACTAACAGATGGATAGAATTCCATGAATTTGAAGACAAAGGTAGAGAATTCGACTAATGAATTTTATTTAGTCTAAAATAAGTTAATTAAAAAATAGTTATAAGTCCATTCGGACATTTCTAAAACTAGGAAGAATTTATTGAAGCAGAAAACCAGTGAAATTATCAAATTAATGATTAGACAATAGGTTTTGAAGTTGGAGGTGCATCCCATGACAACTATGCAAACAACCTTATTTCCAGACTTCTGTGTGAGGTGGATCTAAGCTGTATTTATTTACTATACAAGATGGATCCAAGGAAAAGGCTGGGTTTTAAGGGTTACTATTCTAGAACTGATTCAACTAAGCCTTATTCCAACTATATGGAGCCAGCTAAACTTGTTCTGTTTCACATTACTATTCTAGAATCTTCATGGAAATATTAACAAGAAGTGGCCATGTATGGATGCAGTATCCATGTATGATTCTTCCAAATTCAGTGATTGTATAAGATAGTAGTTGAAACACAGTATAGTTTTTCCAACACTGAAATGGAATGAAGAGATCCAACAGCCAATTGGAACAGAGAATGAAATGACTAGGTTCTGGTAGGGGTAGCTTGGCATCTTGCTCTAAGTTATATTATTCCCTCCAAATTCAGAGCTAAAAACTTCTATAACCCATTTGCCATAGAAAAATGCATTGCCTAGCTCATCTAAGTCATATCGACTGCTTGGTTCTTAAAAGGAAATACGAGTATGACGGGTTTAGAAGTGTGCCAAGCACCACATGAAGCTTTCTTCCTTTCTTCCCCTTTTAAAGGAAGATATTGCAATTTGCAAAGATGACAGAATAAATAGAATTACAAGATAACATTCAGGACAAGAGTTTTCCATGTGAAAGTGTGGTCCATGTATGCAGTTTTATTGTAATTTGAAATATGTAACTGTTGTGAAGTAAGACATAAAATATGATTTATTTATTTATGGTAAAATAAGATAAATATATAAAATACTTACACAAAACAAGATGGAAATAATTAAAAATAAAAAAAATGATTAATTGGCTTTTCCTCTAGGTAAAGGTTATGTGAAATGCAATAGTACAGAACTGGCCAAGGAGCAGCAATTTCCACTCTGGAAGAGAAACCTGATTTTAGATGGATGAGGATTCACAGTGTAGGGCTGTGAATCCACTACTAAAATTTGGGTTTTGGAGATAATAAGCCTACACTATGATTGAGGAAAAAGATTCCTCCTTTCTCGAGTGGTTCTTTATTCTTTTTCTTCTTTGGGGGGGCGTTCATTCTAGGAGGAAAAAAAATTTCCTTGACTGGAAATCTCGCAAGTATTCATTTGGACTCGCAATATCCAAATTCGCAAGCCATCTGGACTCGCAGTAGTCTGCAGGCTGGACTCGCAAGTGGGACTTGCAGATCCCAATCTCGCTGAACTCTGGACTTGCAAATCTGTTTCTTAGCAGTTTTGGGGAGCTGACCTGGTAATTCAACGAAGAGGGAACTTCGGGTGTTTTGAGAGCAGGGATTTTGGTGAGGAGGCTGTTAACACTGTAACTGTGATCTCCATTATTCCCTAGTGGGTTTCTTCTCCTCCAATGCTTCTCTAGTGCCCGTGGGCGTACGCTATAAGCCGAACCACGTAAATCTCTCTATGTGCTATTTTATTGCTCTGTTTTTCTTATTCCTTCCCTGTTTCTCTACTTGCCAATCGTTTATCTTGTTCCTGGGCTTTGTTAGCATCTCAACAACGTTGCCAAAACTTGGAAATTACATCTACTACAAACATTCCAAACTACGAAAGAGTATATCTATTCACACATACCTCAATCCTCACAGTTTCTTTATAATCCACGGTACTTCGGAAGTAATTTTATATTCTGTCTATAAACGAATCTAATCAGTAGTTTTCATTTTCAATTAAGTTCCATGGACGAACTACTGTCACATATATCCACTGCGTTTTCTTCCTTCCACTTATACAATAAGGAGAAGGGCCGGGAAGACGTTTAGCTACACGGATTCCATTTCCTTCTCACAATCACGACGGCAAGAGGGAAGGGAGGAATAAAAACACACTATACAAATCCAAGCTACATAATAATTTCTTAAATCAATTCCATTACCACATTAACCATCTAGGCATGACGATTATACACGAGAACGATTAATGACACTAAGTAATTTAAACCAACTGTGCTCTAACGAGGCCAACTGAAGAACAAACAATTCAAGAAAAGGAAATTAAAACAGCAAGCCTTATATATCCATTCAAGACCACATGGCATCGTAACCAGGTTCTATTACGATAGTTAATGCTTACCAGCCTATAAGATAACCGAATCCGGTGAAAAACGAGATAATGCCGCATCGCCGGCGATAAACAAGCATCGAAGTGTACCCCATCAACATCGAAACCAGAAAATGGAGATTCGAGGATAATCCGAACGAAAGATAAGATAACACAGCTCCTGACGCCGCCGAGTAGAGATGCTTCGGAATGGTTCCGGGGACGAGTCTCCATAGAAAGCTTACCGGTATGGTGGCGACGAAGCATAGAAGGAACCGAAGAACGGGAACTGAGACACTGATCGAAGACGCCATGGATTCCATGTCGGGCTCCATAGCTCACTGCCTCACTGTTGTGAAACTTGCTAAACCTTTGGCAAGAAAACTCTTCACTCTTCACTTCTTCAGCCTTTGGCGAGAAGGAAAATAGTTCGTTGGGAATACTGTGCCTTGTCGTTGTTATGTCATTAATTGACCGTAATGCCCCTTCGGTAGATGCGTAGCCATGTCAGCATCACCATTGACTCTAGCCTTGGAACGGTTGACACCTGGAATGTAAACCTCGGAGGCTAGTTGTCTTGAGTTTTGACACCTGATAGGATAGGCAAACCAAACGATCTGGGCTTAAACCTTTTTGGGTAAACCGCTAGATTAGAATCTCTTTTTCGTGCTTGGTCTTAAAGACAAAAACTTTTGCTGGCAGGAATACAGCGTATACATGATACATCCAAGTAAAAGATAAATTTACCATAAAGGGCACGATCATTTTAAAAATTAACAATTTTTAGGTACCGTTAAGACGCTCAAGGTTGAGCCTTCTCCCGGTTCGCTATCAGGTCCATCAGGATGGTTCAGGTTGTCATTTGTGCCGCAACTGCGAACTTCTCTGGCTTGATCATTGAGAAACAGGGAACCAGCTCCAGGAATATCAGATTGACTCAAGAGGGGAATCGCAGTGAAGCGACGAGGGATAAAGTGAACTTGTGAATCAAGGTGATTGATTTGAAACGAACTAGGTATTTATAGATTTGAGGTTGATGCCATATATTTTGCTGTTTGTATGTTTTATTTTCTGGAGCAAAACTGCGTTATTCCACGACTCTCGGTGATTACCTTTAAGTGCCTTTTCGGGTCTGGTCTCAATCACTAACTTAAGTTGTAATCAATTCAAGTTGTAGGGTGGAACTTTCCAGGATGGAAATAAAGAAATCTGTCAAGGCTAGTACTGGTTATGGTAAAAACAAGCCTGAAGGGAGCGATGAACGGGAATCTTCTTCAGAAGAGATTTGTAACTTAAACAATATGTGCTATTATATAAGCTTCTTTAAGAGTTCGTTGTTATTAAAATGCAGCCTGGCATGAACAGCTATTAGAAAATAAGAGATCCCAGTAAAGAAAACCTAGCAAGAGACAGCCAATGAAGTTGGAAATTGATGTCCTTAGGCTTCTGCAGACTGTACATGATGCAAGCGAAAACCATGGAATTCTTAAAGACATGCAAATAAAAGAAGGAGATGGGTTGGTGAAATTTAAAGCAATGACAGAATGCAAATATAAATACAAGGGAGATAAATAACTGAAAAAAAAAAAAAAACACTTAAGCCTCCATTCAATTACTCACCTTCAGTACATCCTTATTCTTTAATGATCCATATTTACGGATTTCCTAACTTCTAAATATACATGGAATTTCATAAATAACCAAACACTTACTTTCCTAAGTATCCTCACTCCTAAGTAATTTAAAGTTTCAAAATATTTTCGCTTACTTGTAATAACTTGCTTTGCTAATAAAAGTAAAGATTCCTAAACTGAGTAAAAGTAAAACTAAGAAACTACAAACTCCTAATACTATCTAATAACTAATTAGCTTTCATATCAATTAACTTGCTAAATAAGAACCCTGAAAGTATAACAAAGTACTACTCTCAGTTTTATCAGGATTATAGCAATTCATTGGATCCATAGATTTGCTAAATTATTTGGCCAACCCATGTTAGATTGGCTTTCTAAAGATCTATATGGCTAGTCTATAATTAATATTCAAAAATTATGTCTTCTGTTTGGAAACAATTACGAGCTGCTTCGTCAGCCTCCCCTAGCTTCATATAAGCTTTGTTGTGGATTTCAGGGATGCTCTTGCATAACTTATGATTTTTTTTCTTATAGGAGGAAGAACTAGAATGTGAATTTGAAGAAGTGCAGAAGGTTCACTGTATGATTTTGATTCTGTGTATCAAAATCCAATTCAAAGAAAAAGGTTGGCCGCACAAACAAGAACAACTACATTTGTGTAATTAAATTTACTTTATGGATTTTGTGAACTCATAAAGTTGTCCATGATCATCAGATCCATGATCAAAGGCCAATGGAAATCAGCAGCAAGAAGCCTGTTGGCAGGTTTAGGGAGGTTATTCAAGCACTTAAAAGGGTAAGTGAATGTTTCCATTAGTATCTCTATGTTTTATTCTCAATTATGTAAAAATATGCTATGGATAGGAAACAATAAATGATTGCTTAATTTAATGTAGCTTTTGGTTTCACATATCATCATTGTCCTTGCCTTAAATGGAGCTTTTAGTTTCACTGATATTAGAATATGTCTGCATAGTTCAATTTTACTGGTTTCTAAAAGTTCATGTAAAACAATAAAGGCGTCTTAGCTCTCCTGGTCATTCCAGGTAAAAGTTTGATTTTCTCCACATTTTTCTTGCCCCTTTTTTTGAAGGCAAATGGAGGAGCATTTCTCATAATTCCTTTTCTGCTACATTGTTTCTGCTTCTACACCAATCCCAACATGGCTTAAAGGTAAAAATAAGATTGTCTTGTTTCAACCTTGAATAAGCCTTGGTTCTGTCTAGGTTTAGATCTCTGACTTGTACAGACAGAAGAAAGAAAGAGAGGAGAAAAAGAAAGGAAGAGAGAAGAAAAGAATACTCTCCCAGTCAGTTGATCCATTGTATAGACTAGCTAATGTACACATGTATTGCATGTGGCAATTTCAGGTGATGATGATGATTTAGAACCCATCTTTCAAATCTTTTTACTTGCAGTTTATATCAATGCTTTCAACTTATGGTTGAACCTAACAACCAAATTGATTGACCTGTCACACTAACAACTTATTGAGCCTTTTTTTTTGTCAGCAACACAAAGAAGAAATTTTATTGATTAGAAGAATAAAGGGCAGATTACAACAAGAAGTGGTGAAAGGACATTCCGAAATAGGACTAGCCCCCCCCAAAAAAAAAGAAAAAACTACAAATGTTCCTAGTACATATTGTTTCTTTGAACCCCTTGCTTCGCTAAACTGTCAGCCAAGCTATTCGCAGATCTCCTAATCCATTTGATTTGAATATACAAATCCTTTAAGATCCATTTGAACTGCCCGGATTCAGTTTTGAGTTGCCAAATCACCTCTTCACCTTTCATCAGCCATCCCACTATAATCTTAGAATCTCCTTCAACAATCAGCCTATTAATGCCCATTTCTTTTGCTCTTTCTACTCCAAAAACTGCTGCTAGAAATTCTGCTTTTATCGAGTCCCCTTGTTCAATTGGGCCAGAAAACAAGGCCTGAATAGCACCACTCTCATCCCTGATTACCCCTCCAATGCCTAAGGCCACTTGGTTACCCATACTGCTGCCATCAAAATTCAGCTTCATCCACCCCTCCTGGGGGAGGGAGGACCAAACCTCCAAAATTTTCTGATTTTTAGAGGAAGAAACAACTATGGCCCCCCAATTCCTGAAAAATCCTCCAACTTAAAGTCCTTGAATAATTTCAGAGTTTTGACTTAGTGTGCTACTCTTAGGGTAATAATTTCAATAATTACTTCTTTGCCCCTCTCCTTTTCCTCAAAGGTTCTTAGGTTTCTTTCTTCCCAGTCTGTCCACACCACTGTTGCTCTTGTATATCTCCACAACAACCTACCCCTCCTTTTACCGCTTCTTAATACATTAGGGCCAAACAACCTCTCCAAACTATCAAGGGAGTCCCACCCAGATGCCGTAAACAAACGGGCAGGAGATTAAGAGATGGAAAGCAGTCTCACTATTCACCTTACACAAGTAACACCAGTTGGGGGATAGAGGCCAATTTGGTCTTTTCCTCTGAAGCTGGTCACAAGTGTTAATACAACCATGAAATACTTACCAACAAAAAGCATTGAGCTTCAAGTGGTTGAGCCTATTTACCACTTTGTTGCAAAATTGTTGATTCGGCCAACAAGTCATGGGTTAAACATTAATTTTCTTTCTATTTTTTGTATTTTTAGCCATTTCCATTATTAACAACAATAATTCTCATCTATTACACATTTTTGTTTAATATGATGAACATATAATACTAAAGACATGCCCAATTTTCTACAAATTTTATTATTATTATTTTTTCATTTTTATTATTTAATTTTTGACATCACAAGTTTACTTGTTTGCCCAAAGAGAAATGTAGTTCCAATCGCTTATGATAAATTTTTTCATCCTACGATCAAATTGGATGGTCAAACTGGTTGAATCTTCACTTAACCAAGATTTCGAGTTCATTTCACCATCAAGTTGTTTGCCTGCAAAAACATTATTTAATTAGACAATAACATGGTGAGTTTGTACCTACTACCCACACCTTACCCATAAGAAATTATAACAATACATAAAAACTGAAATAACCAAAATCGAAAATTTTGGTTCGGTTTTCAGTTAAAACCAAATCTTAATAATATATACTATATTATATATTATATATTATAATATATATTGTGAAATAAAATTTCATTATCTTACGTATTAATATATAAATATATAATATATTATATATTATATATTATATGTTACATATTATATATTATATATTAGATATTATATACCAAAGTTTGGTTAATTCGGTTTATTCAGTTAACCGAATTTCTAATTCTAAAAACCAAAACCAAAACCGAAATATTCAAAAACTGAACTAACCAAAAACCAAAAAAACGAATCCAAAATTTTCAGTTCAGTTTTTTGGTTTTAACCGAATAATGCTCACCCCTAGGTTAGAAACTCTCTTTTTCCTTATTTTTTATACTCCATTTCCATCACTAATAAAAGCATTTCTTATTTATCACACTTTTTTGTTTATTTTTGTATTTGTATCTATTTTTCAATGTTTCATTTTTTAATTATGACATCATGGGTAGACCCATTTGACTTGGATGATTGAACCATTGACTTGCCAATTGGATGAAAAAAAATGGTTTGATTCTAGTAAGTTTTAATGAGAGAGATTGAGAGTTAATACCTTAAGTATAGGTCTTAATGAGAGGGAATCATAAGATGGACTAAAAATTAAGTGATAATCCAAATTACATTTTTTGCCTTCATAATAGAAAGGAGCCAAATTAAAAAATAGGGTATTTTGGTCAAGAAAAGTCTAAAAATCTGGACCCCATTCATACTATTAGTAGTGGTATAGATGCACCTAACAAGTGATGATGATGATTTAACATCATCATATCAATTGATGATGCAGCATCGTCATATCAAATGATAATGCACGTGGTAATTTCACTTAACCAATTTTTTATGCAAAATAATGATGATGCATCATCATTATACTGATGTTTGCTTTCTCTTCACCATCATCATCATTATCATTATTATTGTTGTTGTTGTTGTTGTTGGTAGTAGCAGTAGTAGTTACTACTACTACTACTATTATTGTACATGGCAATTTAAAATGATGATGATGATGCTGATAATAATAATAATAATAATAATAATAATAATAATAATAATAATAATCTTATTAAAACCCATGTAACAACAATAAGTAATAGATGCATGATTTACTGTAGATTTATTGCCTTTTAACTTAAATATTTAGGTTTAAATCTTCTTATTGCCTTAACCAACAATGAGATGATCTTATTGGTTGAACTGCTAACCCACCATGGAAATACAGTTTCATTTTTAGGTCATTTTAAAATATAGTCTTTTAATTATACCATTAAAATTATAGGTAGATTTAATTTTCAATTTTTTTCATTAGAAATTAGTGAATTCAATAGTAAGAAACTAAAATGTTTTAAACATATGATTCAATGAGAAAGATTGAGAGTTAATACCATAAATATGTCTCAATGAGAGGGAATAAGATAAGATGAATTAAAATGTGACAATCCAAATTACATTTTCTGCTTTCATAATAAAAAGCAACCTAATTCAAAAACAGGGTATTTTAGTCAAGAGAAAGTTCAAAATCTAGGACAGCATTTATACTTTTAATGGTCGTATAAATGCATCTAACAGGTGATGGTGATGTAACATCATCATATTAAATGATGATGCAGGTGGCAATTTCATTTGGCCAATTTTCTTTACAAAATAATAATGATGATACATCATCATCCTTCTGTTGATATTCATTTTCATTGCATTATCATCATTACTACTATTACTATAGTACATGGCAATAATAATAATAATGATAATAATAATAATAATAATTTTATTATTAAAGCAACAAAGATAAGTAATCGAAGCATGGTCCATGGTTTAATGTCAGATTTACTGTCTTTTAACCTAAATAGTTAGCTTCAAATGTTCTCTTTTTTTCAGAAAAGAGGTAAAGTATTGTATTAATAACAAAAATTTACACCTCCACACCTACATGGCAAGGAGCAATGCCATTACAACCTTCACTTGGTTTGGTTAACAACTAGTTGACTTTACTGGTTGAACTGTTGACTTATTTGACCATGTAAATGAGCCATGGATAAGACATTAATTTTCTTTTTTTTGGTACTTTAGCCTTTTTTCATCACTGATAACAATTATTCTTTTTTTATGCCTTTTGTTTTATATAATGAATATATAGTATCATAGACATGCTCAAATTTTCTATAAATTTTATAAATGAGCCATGGATAAGACATTAATTTTCTTTTTTTTGGTACTTTAGCCTTTTTTCATCACTGATAACAATTATTCTTTTTTTATACCTTTTGTTTTATATAATGAATATATAGTATTATAGACATGCTCAAATTTTCTATAAATTTTATAATATTTTTATATTTTTATTTTTATCAAATTACATCACAACTTGGCTGGTTTGAATAAAAGGGTAATATGATTCCAATAATTTATTAAATCACTTTAGGCATTAAAGTGGTGAAGGTTGAATTAAGGCATCTTTCAAGAGCTGCATTGGAATGAAACTCTTCAAAAACCTTCATCAGATACTTAAAAAAAAAAAAAAAATCATCAGATCCTATTTGAGGAAGTGCCACCCCAACTTATAAAATTTCATGGTGAAACCATCCGGGCCAGGAGCCTTGTCTCCCTCTAATTGGGAGATGGCAATTCTGACCTCCTCTGTAATAGGTTTTTCTGACTCTTCAGCATCCTCCTTTGAAATTCTATTTATGCACAGGCCATCTAACCTCAGTC